TTCAAATGCAAAGATTCAAAGAGAAGTTGGCTGGGAGATGAACCGCTGGAGAAATTTAGCCAATGTAACTGGCTCCACCCATTCCTTTTTTTCTTTTCAGAATGTGGACATTGTGCTTGGAGCTGTCAGCAGCCTTCCAGTAAACTTAAGGTAGAGACCATGAGCATCACTGCTAGTCTTGAAAGGTATGAGCATCTGAACGTCATGACCCACCTTCAGACATTTTGGTGTGTAAGAAAACAACCCCCTTTCTAGAGGTGTGTTATGCAACATTCTGCCTACAGTTAACAATAGTATATTATACAGTTAAAAGTTTGTTATGAGAGTAGAGCTCTGGTTAATTGTCCCTACCAGGATTTTAAAAAAAATAAAGGGAAAGAGGAGAAAACAAGCCCCTCTTTGTATAAGATGAGATTTTCTGTTACTTGCAGCACTGCAGGCTGATTTAAACAAGCCATAAAAAAATTTGGAGGAAATGAAATTTTAAATGAAAAAAGTGGAATAGAAGGACTTGAAGAATAAGCCTATCTTATTTATATTTTCTAGAATACATGTGTAATACATTTGTGATAAAAATACAGTACAGGCTATTTTTAAGTTTTATGATGGTCTGGAACACATCCGATTGCACATGCTGGTCTTAGGAGACCCGGCAGCCCTGGTGCTGTATCGATTTGTTGTGTAATCTTAGGAAAAAGCACCTTATCCTTTTAGGATTTGGCCTCCCAATGTGCGTCAAGTCAATGAATCTGACGGCTCTCAAGGCTCCTTGCTAACAGCTCTATCTAAAGAGCTCTGTGCTCACCCTGAGTCTTTCTCCTCCCTCTGGACAAGAATTGACTGAAAATAAACTCTGCACAGGCAAACCGTTCAAGAATGGAAAATAAACACTTCCACTAACCTAAAACAGTGCAGAGGGAACCATGTCACCAAGGATCATTTTCTTTTTCGTTTCAGAATACCATTTTATGCAATTCTCTTCTAATCCAAGTACCTGTATTAAGGGTGATGTTAACCTAACCCTCCTCCAAATCTCCCAAACAAAGCTTACATCCCATCACATTCTTTTAGAATTCTCTTATTGAGAAGCCCCAAGTTTCCCAACGTGTGTCCTCCCTCATGGCAACAAGTAATACAGTTAATTTTTTCAACTACAGGTATATTCTTGGTGGTCTCTAGCTGGAGGGCATTGGCAATACTGAGTATTAAAATTTTTATTTTTATTATTAGCAATTATTTTAAAATATTGTTGTTTTTATTAATCTAGTATGTCAGGTACATCCTTGAGGAAGCAGCTGAATGCCCAACATCAAGCAGACTTGGGATAGGTTGGAAAAGTCTTTTGTATGACAAGGGTGGCATGTAACAGCATAACACTAATTCTCTCTCTTCCTCTCTCTCTCTCCCCAACACACGCACACACACACACACACACACACACACACACCCCTCTCTAAGGAGATGCTGATGGATCTTTAGAAGATCCCTCTGCAGAAGCAATGTTTCTCTCCTGTTCATAACTGAATATCCAGCTCACAAAAGGAGGCAGATCATATAGCTCAGACTCAATGTTAATTTTTGCCAAAAAATTTTCAAACATCCTGCAAGACTTTAAGTTTGATTTGAATACTCTCAGATCAAGCAAACAAACACAGCTAATACATACAGAGGCTTACTCTCTACCAGACACTGCACTGAGCATCTTACATGCCTTAATTCAGCTGTCTCCAACCTAGTTATGTAAGGTGGATGCTGTGATTAATTCCATTTTGTGGAAGGGGAAACTGAGGCACAGAAAGGATTTTTTTTTTTAGTGTCTCACTAGAGATCTCATGGCTGGCAAAGGATAGAGTTGGGATTTAAATACAGGCAGTTTGCCTTCAGGGTCTGTGCTCTCAGTCAATACATTGTACTACCTTGTAGTACAAAACAAAGATATAGAGGATACTAATGTGCAATTAACTTTTCAGGAAGACTGGTGTTATTTGAATACAAAAATGCAGAATGTGTACATTTTTCTTCATTGAGTATGAGGGAAAATGTTTATTGGGTATTTTTAAGTGGTCATATAAGTAGGCCATTAAAAATATAAATTATGTAGATCATATAATTTGACCACAACAAAATAACATTAGATATAAACAGTATAAATAATGGGGGAGAACCCAAAAATGTCAGGAATGAAAGGGGAATATAAAATCAGATTAAAAGTAGATTAAAATTATAAAAGAAGACAATTTGTAACTTTATGAAAGTAGATTTAAACACATAAAAGAAGTACACTCTTTTTCTAGGCAAATATAAATTACCCTAAATGAATTCAAGAAAATGACAGACATTACTGCTTTTTAAAAGGGGAAAAATGACCTATCCTTCTATAATCAATCAAACCCAGATGGTTTTATAAGTATGCTCTAGTAAAACTTCAATAAACACATAATTATGTTAATGGTTTGAATTTTCCAAAGGGAAAATCCTAGAATTTTTTAAAAAAATCATCCCATAAGGCTTGCATAGCTTTGTCCCAAAGCTAAGTACAAACTCATCATTCCTATAAAAACAATTTATTAATACAAATGGAAAAAAACATCATTGCTATGAATAAAGGATTCTGATACATTTGTATAAAAGAACATATATGGACTAAATAGAGTTTATTTAGGCACCACAGCATGATGTAATTAAAGATAACATCTCAATCAGTGTGTAGAAGAGTGGACTTTTCAGAATTGGTGTGGGGATAGTAGAATTCTCAACTGTGTCAGATCCCTACCTTACCCTATGTACAAATACAATTTTCAGATAACTGGTAATCTAAACAATGAGTATCTCAAAGCTATAATTCACTAGAACAGTTAGGGAAGTATACTTGTGATTCTGGTATAGGAAGCCTCCCTAAGCAAGATGGAAAGTTCGGAAGCCCTGAAAGAAAAGACTTGCAAACTCCACTCCACAAATCAGCTCTACAGGGGAACACTCCAGTAACAGCATCTTTACAAATAATGGTCACTATGTGGAAACATTTCCAGAGTGATACAATGGAAACATAAATGAAAAGACACACTAAAACCCAATATGCAGAATTTTAAAAATCAATAAAATTGACAGCCCTTCAGTGAATGTGGTAAACAAACAAAAAAAAGTGTGTGTGTGTGGATGTGTGTGTGTGTGTGTGTGTGTGTGTGTGTGTGGAGGGTGGTAGGAAACACAAACAATATTAGGAATACAAAGAAGGCACAGAACAATTCAGAGAAAATAAAAAATTAAAAAGTGACACTATTCATAATTTTGTGCCAGTACATTTGAAAATGTAAATGAGGTGGACAATTTTCTAGGCACATATAAATGACTAAAACTGACTCAAGAAGAAGTAGGATTTTTTTTGGGGGGGGGTTAGGACAAATAGAACCAATATACATATCAAGATAGAAATTCAGGTTGCCATCAAGAAATAGATTAATGGGAAAGGCTGGGGGCGGGGCTGGGCATTCACTTCCTAAATATAGTGCTGTGTGCTTTGAATAATATATGACAATCATGAGTTAATTTTGTAAAAACTTAGCATAAATTTTGGTGAAGGACTCTACAGGAAGTCCCGGGAATGGGTTTGAGGTGGGCTAGAGAACCAAGTAGGCAAAGAAATCCGAAGGTCCGACTGCAGAAACCTGCACTGCTAGATGGCTCCCAAGTTTTAAAGGACCACCCTTGGCTTTCGGCTTCTCTGCCTCTCCTTCCCACCCTGTGGACTGATTCGTCCTTAGTTCCCAGGGCGTTTATGAAAGGATCTAAGAAAGGTAGAGTTGCAGAAACCACCAAAGAGACAAGAGTTCGAATCCCTGCCCGGTCCGAGACTCGCAGGGCCAAGTCAGACTGTGGAAGGGTCTGCTCGCTTCTCTGGACCCCGAGGTCTGCGGCGAGGGGTCTGTGCGCACCGCCACGCCCCCGCCCCGGGCTCCGCGAGACTCGCGCCAAGTTGCGGAGCTAGTCCGCCGGCAAGCGGCGGCGGGCGCCTTTCCCCCCAGCTGCAGGTAGGCACTTCCCACCCCCGCGGCCCCCTCCTTCCTCACAGCACACACACCCACACAACCCTCTCCTGTCGCGGCTGGAGAGCTGCTCTCAGGCGCCAGCGGGCAGCCGCGCCTCATCAGCCAGTAGAGCCAGCCGAAGACCGAGCCGGAGGGCTGGTGCTGCGCAGGAGACCTGCAACCCAGCAGCTTGAAACTGGGGGACAAGCCTCACGTTTCCTTCAAGCTTCTTTTTCTTAACAAAAAGAAAGAAAGAAAGAAAAAGCAAATCCTCTGTTGCCACCTCAACTTGGAGGAGCAGGGCGTGATTCGAAGGACTGACGCAGAGGTTTCATTCATGGACCTTGAAGTTAGGGCAAGTCACTCAACAGGACCCGCGAGGCCAGGGGTAGCCCCAGTTCCTGAGCGGGTTCAGCCTGGCGGTGCCCTCTGGCAGCCCACCTGCAGCCGCCAGCGGAGGTTCTGGGCGCCTTCTGACTGTGCTTTGGAAGTAATGACACTACCCGTGGTCTGGACCCAGGTGGCCTCGCTTGATGAGCGTCCCTACCAGGTAAGTGCTTCCAGAAGGGTCTCCCCTGGCTGCCTAGGCAGAACCTCAAGCTCCCGAGAAGTAAGTCCACGCTGTTTAGCCTCAGGCAGGAGGCGGGGACTGGTAGGAGAGAGCATGCTTTGCTTTTATCACAGGAAATTGTGGGAGACTGGAATGGAAGGCGGATTTAAAATATTTTATTTTTGCATTGACGCGTGGGGATGAGATGCGTAGGGGCCTGAATTTTTGTAGGAAATGTTGCAAAGCGGGGCTGGGTGATAGGCGTCTGGATATTTTTGCAGGAACTGAAGAGGGAGCAAAATCTTAAATTTTTGCAGAAACCTGTGAGAAGTGGGCGGTGAGATGTTATGATCCTGAAAATGCGCACGAAATTGTAAAGAATATGTATCTGGGAATTTCTGAGAAATGGTGGGAGAAGCACTTACCGCCCTGGCTTCACCTGACCCCCATACTCGGCCTTCTCGACGATGACCACAGACAGTGGCAACAATGGACGCTGACACACCCGGCTACCGCGGCCTCAGCCCCCGACTTCAGCACCTCGGACAGCCCCCTCCCCCTCCCCGGCAGCATAAAGCACGCAGCTAGAACTGTACAGCCCCAGCTTTTCAGTCCCAGGCCACCGGTGCTGTCTGCGGTGGGCGGATACGTAACACCGCCCCCAGCTTTGCGAGGAAGGGCTCTCGAATAGCAAAAGCAAACGTGGAGCTCAATTTTTGATCTGCTTGTAACTGCTTCCCGTGACTGCAGAAGGAAGAGGCGGAGTATAAAGATAGCCCCCAAGCTTCCACGAATGCAGCTGAACCGGTGGCCTCCTGGGTTTGGGAAGGTGAATCCCAACTTCCTCAAACAGCTAACATTTATAAAAGGCTGTCCATGTGCCAAGGCCCTGTGCTAAACGCTCTATGAGTTAATTTTTATAGAACACCATGAGTATACTCTTTATGTACTATTATTATTCCCATTAAACAGATGAAAAAACTGAAGCAAGAGAGTCTGAGAAACTTGCGCAAGAATATACAACCTGAAAATATAGTGAGAGGATATGCCTGAGCAGAATTGCCTGCATGAAATAGCTCTGAACTTAGGAACCAAGTTTGAATGAAAGACATAGATAGCACTTCAAAACGTGTCTTTGAACAAAATTTCTAAACATGTCTGAACTTCAAGCTCAGTATCTGTAAAATTTTAATAATGCTTTCCTTGCAGAAGCATGGGGGGCGGTGGTCAAAAGGATCATGTACGGAGATACATCCAGCGAACTGTTAATTGTGATTGATTGGGTGGGGGGATTGGAAGGGAGGAGGCAGGTAATTGGAAGAGAAAGAGGACTGTTAATGAACACTAGTGGCACACTACAAGGGTCTGGGCTCAGAGCAGGGCTCAGTGGAAGGAATTCAGGATGAGCTTATTTCAGCGTACCAATTCCTTGGACTTTTCCAGGACTTCATACAGGGTGTTCATGTATTGCGATCATTTGATCATTTTAACAGTCCTGTAAAGTAGGCAGGATTTGGGTTATTTTACTCATAAGGCAAAATGATTCCTGCCCCAAATATTCAGAAACGTAGTAAGCAGAGCTGGGATTAGAATCCAGTTCTCCTGCATCTGTATCCTGAATCCTCCCACTGCAGGCTAGCCCTTCCTCAGTAGTTAGGACTGTGGGGGTAATCACAGAACTATATTTTTATAAGTACTTTAAAAAGTACTTATAAAAGGTACATTTTTATAAGCACTTTAAATATGTGAAATTGATGACTTTAATAATTTTCACGTACAGCAATAGCAATCTCATATGAATCAAAATAATCTTTGTTGATTATATTGTGTTCCATGAAGAATTTTAAACAATTTATAAAGCTTCACAAGATGTCAGAAAGCAAAGGACAGACAAGATACAGGTGAGAGCCAGAAATAAATGAATATAAAATGTGCATAATATAAAGTCCTAGAAACTTGCTCTGGGTCATTAAGTACAATGAAAGTATATCCCTACACCTTTTTGAGGGGACATGAGAAACTTTAAAGATGTTTATAAAAGTCTGCAGGTCCTTCTCTTCTGCACAACACATCCCTCAAACCTCTGAAAAATCTGCCACTGGACCAAACAAGGGAAGTTTAACTGGAAACCTAATGTCAGTATGGTTTAAGAGAGGAGTGACAAAGTGAATGACATTATTTCTTTACTGAGGCAATTGTTAATTACATAATTAAAAATGGCTAACTTGAACATACTGTACATTAAAGTTTACAGAAAGGCTTCTATACTCATAAGCTTATTTCAGTTTTCAAGCAAACTGAAGAGGTGAGCAGCTAGGAAGTGACAGAAAGTACAAAAACCACAGCAACATGACTATGTTCTTGTATTTTGCTTTTATATGTAAAACTGCATCCATACCTAGGCCAAAAAGTAACTGGAATGTGTGAATCAGGTCAGTTGTAAGACTACAGAGAATAGCAAGGCCTTTTCAAACTGAACAATAAATAATTCATCTTAACACATTTAAATTTTAAAAAAATTTAAAATAGTGTGCCAGTTAAACAATATCTGACTGTGGGCCACATTGACTTTCAGGTCTAATTTGCATCCTTGGCTTAAGATCCAGGCCAAAGAACTAGACTGGCATGGGAATGAAAGACCTTGGATTCAGAGAGATTAAAAGGTTTAATCTCTGCCTGTAATTTCTATTTTTAAATTCATGAAGCTTGAACAAAATTGCTTCTCTCAGTTTAAAAAAAGTTTAGGACTTCCATAGCTTTTCAGAGAATAAAATAATCAGAGGACTTGAGGATAAAGTTGGCATCCACATACTCCCTCTATTAGAAAAGGCATCATTTGACTCTCCCGATGTTGGTAATATTCAGTCTTCAGCATTTCTTCTCTAGACCCTGTGCTATTGAACATTATTTTAGCTGCCATTACAGTAGAGGTGAGGTAAAACAGAAAACAGCCCTAAAAGCATGACAAGGAAGGAATCAGGCAAACTCTGTCCATTTCTCAGTTTACTTTTCTGAAATACATGAAAAAGTGGTCACCAAGTTTTTAAGAAAAAAACATGGTGGCTAGAACAACCCAAGTTGGGATTTCAGTATCCTGGTGTTATGTCAACTCTTTTCAATGATTTTCTTTTCCTTCTGGAAGGCATCTAATCTTTCCAGCATTAGGTTTCCTTACCATTTATTCTCTGTGATTCATGATTGAAGATAAATGCTCAAGTTAAAGGACATTAGATTTTGGTTTACCCTCACATCTAATGGATGACTATTCAATTCTACCTTGCAAACATCTGTCCAGCTTGATTTTTCTTCCGCATCCTTACTGTGGCAGTTCTGATCTTCTTCATCTCCCAGAGGCTCTTGGGTGGGCTCTCATCCTCTCAGTCCATTTCTCACACTCTAGGCAATGATCATATCACCCTCTTCCTTATAAGAGTGGTTCCCCACTTCCACATAATGAGCATCAAACCTTCAGGACAAGGCTACAAAAAACCTTGAATTTGATCTCTGTAGACGTCCCCATATTTTCTTGTTCTACCAATGCACTCCCCACTCTTTCCAACACCACCCTGAACTATGAAGTTCACAAAATATTTGCTCTGCTACCTTCTGTTTTGTAATTTATAGTTACCCCTAAGGGTAATTCCTTACCCTTTTTGATTCAACAAATTTCTGCTCCTTTTTGAAGACCTAGGTCAATTGTCTTCTCCTTATGAATCCTTTTCTAATCTGCACCTCTAGGTCCTCGTGGCACTCATTATCTTTCTGCTGCATGCTTGTCCTCCATTCTGGGACTTACTATGTTGTACTGTACTTATTTCATGTAAGGGTTAAGAACATGGACTTTGGACTGAGTCTGGATTTGAATTCCAGCTCCTCAACATAATGCCTGGTTATTTTGGGGTGAGTGACTTTATCTCCCTGAGACTCAGTTTTATTTTTTCACAAAGTCAGGATAATAGTATTCATCTCACAGTATCACTGTAAGAATTAAATGACATAATGCATGTAGAGTATTCAGCACATTGCTTGGAGCATGGTAAGCATATCATAAATATTTATTATTATTAAAATATACATCTGGCTTACCTCTAGATTGTAAATACCTTGGCAGCTGTTCCTGCATTTTATATAACTCTTTATCCTGGCATGGCATAGATAGTTGATTTATGTTTGATGATGCAATAATAAATGGATGGATGAGCAAGTAATGCTAGTGTTTTAGTCAGGACTTACTTGATTATAAGTCACAGGAATTAATTTGAGCTATCAGAAGCAAAAATATGATAATTTATTGAAAGAATTCCAGAATGTTCATGGACTCTGAAGGCAATTAAAACTCAGGAGGGGTGGCAGGAAGAAGCTCTCTCTCTCCAACTCAGCTTTTCAGGCCACTTGCTTTTATTCTTCTCCCTCTGCACATGTGGCTAACTCACAAGGCAGCCTAACATCTGGAGTGCCCAGTACATCAGTTTCTGCAAACAGCCCAGATGACTGGTATTTTTAGCCCCAATTTCAAGTTCCACCAAAGGTTGAGCCACTGTCCACATGGAGCAGGTCAAATAGCTGAAAGCAAGAATATTAGGTATTCTCTAGAGAGGGAGGAAGTAGATGTGGCTATGCAAGTCTGAGAGGAGCACTCTGTAGGGGGATAGATACACAATTTTTAAGGGGTCACTGTGAGCTGACAGGAAACCCCCACACAGTCAGCACTGATCACTGAATGACCACAGGCATTTGGTTTCTCTCTAGGCTTCTTCACACTTGGCTTTGGTTTTCCCATCTGTGAAATGGAGAGAAAACTTCTTGAAAAGGGGATTTTATGGTTAGTGGAGCACTTGGTATTAGTCTAAGGCAAAAGCATACAAATTAACTCTTTGCTGGGTTATAAAACACTGGGAAGTAAGAATGAAGGGAAATGAAAATGAGGCAAGGAAGAGCTAGCCTCAGCTTCATGGGGAGTCCTGGGGAAGTCACATTACATCTTAGAAGAGGCTATTGGGCAAAGAAAGGGAGATGAGTTTTCCAAACATCTCTTCCTCTATCACCTATTTCCTATTTGCTAACATTTGTTCTACAAAGAGTTAACTCTCCCACATTCTTGATTGAGTGACCTGTTCTCTCTAGGCAACTGCTATACAAAATCAGGCCAGGGTCAATTTATCCTGCTTAGTTGAAACCAGGTGCCAGGCACCTGGATTTAAGACTAGAGGAAAGGTATGGGGCTCACTAAGAAAGCAAGCCAGGCAAGTGGCCAACACCCAGAGAGGGAGGCATTGGGTGAGGCTATGCGAATCCATCATGATGCATGGGTTGAATCTGGTGTAATTTGTAAGGTTGTTGTCAACCAATCATGTCAACTGCAGTCTTTTAAACTTGAAATTTTAATTTAATTTTAATTTAATTCTTGAAATGACAAGTGTAAGTTAAATGCAGCGTGCTGACAATTAATGTTAGCCCAGCACATTTTATCTGGGCTATAAGAGTGAGATACGGAACCTGATTCTGTCCTCAAACAAAGCTCTTGCATTTTCATAGTTTAAGGAATTTCAGCTGAGAGGCCCACTGTGAAAAACTGGTGATAGCCTGCAGAGCAGCTCGGTAAGCACAGAATGTTGTGTCTAAGGGTGGGCTCCACATTCCAGATTACAATAAATAAATGAAAAATAAATGAAAACAAAAAATAAGACAAAAACAAAACATGGATGTTTTGCCTTCAGTTTGCTCCATTCTTTAGGTGCTTGTGGAGAGTTT